AAGCAATTTACTGATCTGGTGGTATGTTGAAGCTTTACGCACATGTTAACGTGTTTCGATTTTTGCCATAACTGATGAAATCTTTCTGAACGTATGCGTCTATTATCATATTTCCTGTTTAGTGGAGGGAGAAGCACATGGTCTGGTCGAGCATGTGGATGATTGTAAATTTATTGTTATTTGTGAACCACGTGAGCTTTGTGTTCAGTAAAAGAAACAGATGTTTATTGTGATAATTATAGTTCCAGTTGTTTTGATCGGGATTAGGACCTGTAGTTAGTGTGCCTAGTTGTACTGTCACGGCTTATTAGACTTCACACAGACCATCTTCTATCAGGGCTAAAACACATTTTAAGTCTTAGTCCCCGCCTAACGAACTTTAAAAAAAAAATTACTGTTCCTGAGGTAGCTTGGGTGTGGGTTTCTCTCCCACTCACCACGACAATACTTGGCGGAGCTTTCGAAGGCTTGGAGTAAAGATAGGTTCGATGAGTGTATTTCTATATTATCCTTCATTTTATCTACTTCACTTCCTCTGACGCAACATCCGCCTTAGACTTTGCTTCTAGTACACTACAATGATGCCAGACTGTCAAGCAACCGTTTTCTTGATCTCCTTTTGCGTCTCATCCCCTCCAACTTGCCCATTGTTACGATCTCGGCCAGGTTTCCTCTTCTCGAGGCAGGCCAAATAAATGTCTTATGCGCTCTCACGTCTTTGCATCGGTATATTGCATCTACAAGGTCCAAATATGCAGCACATTGTGGATGACTTGTATTCTTGGATTTATTCAGTTTGCTTGATTAAACTCAAGATGTACAAATATACAAAACCTGTTGACTGGTGCACCGGAATATTATCTAGTAATCACGGTGAGTTATCTGGGGCTAAAACACAAAGATAATTTTGGGCACTACAGGGATGTATGAAATTTGGGCACAGGTTAGCAGGATTTTTTTTTAAAGCGAACTCTCAACTTTTCGGTCCCTTTGAATTCGTGTCAACTAGATTTTAACAATAGGTGCATACAGAGTTCTAATTTAATTTTTTTTCCAAGCAATGGTTGCTAATTATTTTGACTGTGCGGGGTATTCACAACACTTATCCCAGAAGCAACTCAATGCGGCCTCCAAGCTCTTTCTTATTTGTCCGTTCACAGTCGAAGATCTAGCTGCTACACAGCAGAACAAGTTTAGTATAACCAAGGCTTTCTTTTTTTAACATGCATGGGAAGATAGCAAAAGGCAGTATGCGCTCTCAATGGGATCCTGGATCTACACACCTGGTCGGGGTTGGGGGGGGGGGGCGTAAAGGGGAATAGGCGAGCAGACGAACTGGCAAACAATGCATCAACGCAGGTAGGAAGAAACGGACAGAGTAGATATCATTAACGCTGTATTACACTAAGCGGCCCGTAAAGTTTGACTTCCACAAGTGTCTCTTTTGGCCAGAAGTTTTGACTGGAAACGTTGAAACTGGGACAGTCTTGGAGGATGTGATCTGTTGTCTCAGGTGCCAGTCGACAGGTACACATGGCTGATTGGCCAATCTTAAATTTGTTCCAATGTGCAGTGATGTCGATTGTGATAACATACCATTTTTTAAAAGCAGTACACAACGGAATTTCTCCCCCCCCCCCCCCCCCCCACCCCCCCCCCCCCCCCCCCCCTTTTTCCCATAGCTCGACTGTTATAGACACCTTATGGCGAGTTCCTACACTTTTTTAGATGTTTTGTGGTTAGTACCAGCAACTCTTTTTCTGGGTGTCACACTTCGGTCTCTGTCATAGAATTCTGGCAGCTGGTTGCTAACTTTAAGTGCTAAATCTACCAGTACAAGACTGTCTTAAATAGTAACTTATATATAATTAACAACAGGCAATGTACTGATGGGCACTCACAGAAAGAAGTAGAAAGATAGAAGAATAGAATAGTTAAGACGGCCACGCCTATTAGAGCAGTAGTTAGTTTCCTCGACAGCTGGTACTGTGGCCACATCTATTTGACTCTCATCTTAAAACATAGTTTGAAGTTAATATCTGCACGATATAGCTATCATTTAAATTCGCCCCGCTCTAAAACTATACGCCTCCGAACTACCTCGGAGTTCTCAAAACTATAGACATCTAAATGCACACAGTTCCCAAAGATTGATCAGCTCTCCTTCACTGCTAGAACCGCAACAGTGTCTACCCCCTCCCCCAATCCATAAATAGGGAACCTAAAGGTGACAGGCATTCTTATGGAAAGTATAACCTTAACGCACAGGTACAGCAACAACAGTCGGTGGCATTTAGGCGTCCGGTAGCCGTTTTCTGTGCGGTTCCTGCCATGCAGATTTGGACTTAAGTGTCAGTTTCGGCAATGGTCTTTCATAAGCACTTGGAGTGTGTTGTATTTGTATGGCTATGATTTTACGCAAAAGATAAGGTTTGTATTTTCTTTATGTTTCCACATGAGCGTTAGTTGTAATTATTTGCAGCTATCTATCATTGTAATGGCTGTCTTAGGGGCAATCTGGTGTCAGAAACTTAATTCAAAGATTGAGTTATTTAAATTTAGGCAGGCAAAACGCTGTTTCGAAAACCGATATGCTTAGAAAATAGACTAAAATAGAAAATGTTCACATATTACTGAAGTGCATACGAAAAGTCTGTAAGTATAGGACCATTGATGTATTATCTAAGGCTCGTATTTTGAAAGGTCAATCAGCACTCGTTTGTGGATGTAGTCAACATCACGCCGGTCGCCTTTACTTCCGATGACTTTACCTGGCACCCATTGCAGGCAATGACAATTAAATGGGAGCTGCGTGGTCTCGAGGCATGGTGTCCGTCTCGAGTACTGGAGGTTCCAGGTTCAATTCCCGGCAAGGACTTGGATTTTTTCAAGTGGACGTGGATTTCTAGAAATCCCCCCTTGTCTCTGGGTAGTGAGATCAGACGCCCGTGTGCATTGTTGTGCACGTTAAATATTCTTGGCAGCTGGAAATCGAAAAGAGTAGCCTAAAGGCATAGCACGAGCAAAATATGGAGTTAAAAGTCTACCCTAAGTATTTCAGGATCCTCGCCGGTGCTACAGAGCCTGTGCACTCAGACTTGAGTTAGAAGAAGAACGGAGCACTTATGGGCCTGTGTGCCATGATGTTGATCCGTTGTTCAAAACCTCAATAAACCTTGATAAAAATTAAAAGACAGTATATTTTCATTTTCTAGATATTTAAAAGGCGTATATTTTCATTATCCAGATATTAAAAAGACGAATACATTTTGTTAAGTTTTCTGAGATTAGCTGGTACAATTAAAAACTGTATGGAGCCTTTATATGGCCGAGGTCATCATCAGATCTAAATCCGGCCCTGACTGCAAGCAATAGTAAACGATAAGCGACTATAATTGAACAAGCGTAGATCTATGCTTACTCAACTGGGTCAGCTAACCAAGCAAACCGTGCTCTAGTGGATCCCAGATCACTGAAACATTAAGGGAAATAAAAGAGCAGACAACTTAGCACAAACTGGAAGTCATAGACAACAGCCACATACAGGATGCACAAATGAGGAAATTAAAGCTCAGGTTAAGGTAGCATTTAGAACCTATGAACACTTCCCACCCAAGGCACAATCCTGAAGATCTAATCAATCTTCTCGCATAAAAGAAACAGACATTTTTAATTAGACTGAGTACTGCGGACAACAGACTCTGCAGCTATATGTACAAGAGATTCAAGTCTGGAATTCAAAACTGTGCTCATATGGACTGGCAAAACAGAATACTGAACCTATGATATAGACATGGTATCTACATGCAGTAGAGAGATTCCAGGTTTTGTCGGTTGGAAATCTAAGGGAAGCCCAGCTGTATGGAACAGTGGAAGACACGCGTCGCACCTCAGCAGACTCCACAGAGACATGTGACCACCGTAGACACCACAGAGACATACGACCTCCGCAGACTCCACATATGACCTTTGCAGACTCTTAAGAGACATATTACCTCCGCAGACTCCACAGAGACATATTACAACTGCAGATTCCACAGAGACATATGAAGTCTGCAGACTCTACATATGACCTTCGCAGACTCCACAGAGACATATGACCACCGCAGACTCCACAGAGACATATGACCTCCACAGACTCCACAGAGACATATGACCACCGCAGACTCCACATAGACATATGACCACCACAGACTCCACAAAGACATATGACAACCGCAGACTACGCATATGACCTCGGCAAACTCCACAGAGACATATGACCACCGCAGACTCCACAGAGACATATGACCACCACAGACTCCACAGAGACATATGACCACCGCAGACTCCACATATGACCACCGCAGACTCCACATATAACCACCGCAGACTCCACATATGACCACCGCAGACTCCATATATAACCACCGCAGACTCCACATATGACCACCGCAGACTCCACATATAACCACCGCAGACTCCACATATGACCACCGCAGACTCCACAGAGACATATAACCACCACAGACTCCACATATGACCACCGCAGACTCCACATATGACCACTGCAGACTCCACATATGACCACCGCAGACTCCACATATGACCACTGCAGACTCCACATATAACCACCACAGACTCCACATATGACCACCACAGACTCCACATATGACCACCACAGACTCCACAGAGACATATAACAACCGCAGACTCTACAGAGACATATAACCACCGCAGACTCCACAGAGACATATAACCACCGCAGACTCCACAGAGACACATAACCACCGCAGACTCCACAGAGACACATAACCACCACAGACTCCACAGAGACATATAACCACTGCAGACTCCACAGAGACATATGACCTTCTCATCTGAAAACTAGTGGCATGGATAACGAAAAAAAAAAAATAATAAAGAAGAGAATAGCAGACATGAAGCAACGACATAATCAAAACTGCGTCAATTTCTCACGATTACAGTTTTTTTCCCCCTCAAAGCTTTGATGACCATCGATGTCCGAGGAAGCCATTTTCGTGGCCATTGGCATTGCCTGTGTGGTGGCTGTCCTCCTGTTCATCGTTTTCACCATCTACTGCGTCAAGAAACAGCAAGATAAGGCGCCAGGATCGACAGACGAGGCAGAGGAGAGCCCGGGAGGAAAGACATAGGAGGCATTTGATGAGAGCCAATATAGGTAAGTTTTAGACAATATCTGAGGTTGTCTTTCTTTCGCTATCCAGAACCTGATTTCATAATTTGTTTATAATGTACTGGGGTATGGAGGAAAGAGTCGCAATCCAGTTTTCGACGTAACAGGGTTCGATAACCGCTGGGGGATGTTTAGAAATAGACTCTTCTTGTGGCTTTCTAATGGCACGAGAGTCACTCCATGGAAAACATGGGGCCCCATCATGCAATATTCCTAAAGGCAGCAAGCAGTAATCTGTAGAAAGGGACCCCCCACAAGATTATCGTTGACACAATAACAACAAAATCCACTTAGTCTATAACAATGCTGGCCAGAGTTTTCTGAGCTTGAGAACTACTTTTTATTTCAGAATTCACTGGCGGATTTTGTGTCTACTTTTATACAGACTATAAAGACAATATAACAAAGACGACCGGGGCTACCTCTCACGGCTTGCCGGTCGACTAGTTGTCCACTCGACCGCTATCAATGCGCTGGACACTCCTGCTCTTTAAAAAAAAAATGCAATTAAAAATGCAAGTGTATTATGTGTAGCTTCAGGCCATAAAATACATCAAAACTCTTACATATTACTGTCACTCTATCATTTTTCATGTCCATTCACCCGTCTGTCTATGTCTGTTTTCCTCTCAGCTGGTCTATCGATCTGTCATATTTTATCCAATCCATTCACCAGTCTGTATTGTTGTCTAGCCACTTGTCTAGGCTCAGACTGTATGTACATAGGTCCGTTCCACTGTTCGCATGTCTGTCTATCCTCGTCTCTCTATCTGTATATAAAGGTAAGGGTGAGAGGATCCACTTCATTGCCCCTGGTTTTATCCCAAATGGCACAGTCTCTCTCTACAGAACAGCTAGCCGCCTGCCGAGAGCGTCGCATACAGCGCGACCTCCGTAGTTCCGACGACGATCCCCAGGGATCTCCGTAAAAATTGCACTCGTGAACTGAACGGCGCTGCCGTGAAACGAACTTTTAGAGCGCACAGCTACTTGTGCATCTTTTTGACACTCTAACCTCAGGTGAAAGGCTAGACTGACGTATAGTCGGGTTGCTACTGGCACTAATGCACTGGCCGATGAAGCTAGAGACTGAGCTTCTATGCTATTGTCTCGAGTGTCGTGATGTTTTTTCTTTACCTAGCTCAACTCTCTGTGGCTAAGCAGTCAAACACTGCGCCTTGCGCTGTGAAAGTATTAGGCTATCTAAGTAATTCAATTTATGACTGGGATTTACTAAGACACTTCCAGATGCCAAATGTCAGCTGAGTCGACATGGCCTCGCGAGGTCAATATAAAAAAAAAATTTGCTTTGGTTAGGAGTTGAACCCAAGATCGTGGGGCCGGCAGGCAGCGACCACTGCGCCACTACATCACAGTAAAAAACGTGTACAAAAGATAAATAAGGAAGCAGTGGATGTGGGGGAAGAAAATAGTTCATAGGTCAAATTCACTAATCGAAATAGTGATTCAAGCAGCGACATTGCAAAAGACTGTCTTTCTCTCTCAGTGTATGGAGGAAAAGGGGGGGGGGGGTTCACTCCTTTTGCAAGTTTCTTCTTAATCTTTTGTCTTTCTCTATCTAGTTCTCTCTTACTTACCTTTATCAGTATTTCACTTCTTTTTTCTCTTTCTTTTTTTTTACACACTATCTTCCTTCTCTTTCATTCTCTCTCGCAATTATTTATCTCTTTTATTTCTCTCTCTTTTATCTCTCTTCCACCTCTCGTTCACCCTCTGCTTTTCTTTACATCATTTAGTATTTACCCTCTCCTCTCTCGTCTTACCCACCCATCTTCTATCGTTTCTGTCTCTTCACCCACCGCCCCCCCTCCCCCCTCTCTCTCTCTCTCTCTCTCTCTCTCTCTCTCCGCCATCATTTCGTCCCTCCTACTTTTCCCATCTCTCCATCCCTACCACACAATCCACAAATCACACCTAAGCAACCAACTCCAGCGCGATAAACAAAGTAGATAATAACATGGAAAAAGCAAAATGTTGACCAAGCGGGTTACCATCGCTGCTCATACATCCGATCTTAGCCGGGTTGCAGCTGAGGAGGAGCAGGTTAAAGGATAGATGATTTCGCGCCAAAATGTATCCAGAATTTTAACGGTGTTGCATCCAAACTCCACGATGACGTTAATCTGGCAGTCATTGCATTTCTCAAAGAACTTACAAGTGACATCATGGACCGACTCCGGATTTCCCATCTTTGCCCATTCATGAAACGCTTTTTAGGGCACTGCACGCGAGGAGGCTTTTTATTTTTTCTTTAGCGCACGGAAAATTCGCTTTCTCGACATCATCGCAAACTGCAGGCACAAGCAGCTTCAGTGGTTTCTGGTCAGGGATCAGGTCTTGAATGTCTTTGGGAACGTCATCCATGCTGACCTTCATATCGTACTCTACGGCTGATTGGTCGTCTTTGTGGCGCCTGCACATTTCTGGTGACTTCTGTATGATAAGTGCCTCCATCCACATGTTTCTTGCTTGGTGGTCACTACCGATCCCTTGGACTGTGAAACGAATCCCCTGACGCTGGAAGCTTTTGGTTTGTGCCATCAATATCTCGTGATGATCTGAACAGTTTGAAGCTGCTGACGTGCCCAGTGTGCAGCAAAACTGCAGCATCAGCCAGGAGACTTTCCCCTTCAATAGGTTTATTTTTCACCCACACATTATAATACCGAGTCTTGCTTGCGTTTTATACAACTTCACACTATAACTGCAGTCTTTGCGAGAGGCACCAATTTGTCTACTTGTTTGTATTCTATCTATCTATCTATCTATCTATCTATCTATCTATCTATCTATCTATCTATCTATCTATCTATCTATCTATCTATCTATCTATCTATCTATCTATCTATCTATCTATCTATCTATCTATCTATCTATCTATCTATCTATCTATCTATCTATCTATCTATCTATCTATCTATCTATCTATCTATCTATCTATCTATCTATCTATCTATCTATCTATCTATCTATCTATCTATCTATCTATCTATCTATCTATCTATCTATCTATCTATCTATCTATCTATCTATCTATCTATCTATCTATCTATCTATCTATCTATCTATCTATCTATCTATCTATCTATCTATCTATCTATCTATCTATCTATCTATCTATCTATCTATCTATCTATCTAATCTAATCTATCTATCTATCTATCTATCTATCTATCTATCTATCTATCTATCTATCTATCTATCTATCTATCTATCTATCTATCTATCTATCTATCTATCTATCTATCTATCTATCTATCTATCTATCTATCTATCTATCTATCTATCTATCTATCTATCTATCTATCTATCTATCTATCTATCTATCTATCTATCTATCTATCTATCTATCTATCTATCTATCTATCTATCTATCTATCTATCTATCTATCTATCTATTCTATCTATCTATCTATCTATCTATCTATCTATCTATCTATCTATCTATCTATCTATCTATATCTATCTATCTATCTATCTATCTATCTATCTATCTATCTATCTATCTATCTATCTATCTATTTATCTATCTATCTGTCTTTCGGTCCGTCCGTCCGTCCATTCGTCTGTCCGTCTGTCTGTCTGTCTGTCTGTCCGTCTGTCTGTCTGTCTGTCTGTCTATCTATCTATCTATCTATCTATCTATCTATCTATCTATCTATCTATCTATCTATCTATCTATCTATCTATCTATCTATCTATCTATCTATCTATCTATCTATCTATCTATCTATCTATCTATCTATCTATCTATCTATCTATCTAATCTATCTATCTATCTATCTATCTATCTATCTATCTATCTATCTATCTATCTATCTATCTATCTATCTATCCATCCATCCATCCATCCATCCATCCATCCATCCATCCATCCATCCATCCATCCGTCCGTCCGTCCGTCCGTCCGTCCGTCCGTCCGTCCGTCCGTCCGTCCGTCCGTCCGTCCGTCCGTCCGTCCGTCCGTCCGTCCGTCCGTCCGTCTGTCTGTCTGTCTGTCTGTCTGTCTGTCTGTCTGTCTGTCTGTCTGTCTGTCTGTCTGTCTGTCTGTCTGTCTGTCTGTCTGTCTGTCTATCTATCTATCTTTTTACTGCCTGTCTGTCTGTCTATATATTTGCCTGTCTGTACCATACATATATATGCCTATCTTGAACAGTCTGTCGTATCTGCCATGGCCCAGTGTCGTATTTTTCCGTATTTGTCTTGCGTACTGATGGCAATAAATCGAGGGTTTATGTCAAATACCACAAACCGCCTAATCGATATCGTCTTTTCGGTTCTAACCAAGTCAATGACGTGGGTAAAAAGTTCACCTTCTGCAACATTCAAAGTTTACATAAGCGTACGCCAACTTTACCATAATAAAGCACCCCATTCAGTAAATATTACAGTGTATAGAAAACATATTTCAAAGCGCTAAAAAATATGATATGTTTAAATGTCTGCTTGATTCTATACAGCTAGTATCAAATAGCGTGAAATAATCACATATACCAGATAGTGACGCGTCTTTTGTCAGTTGAGAAGAATACTTGGCATAAAGTGACAAGACAAGACCACAAACACTGAGACATTGGAAGTGCAGGCATCGCTAGTTTTCCTAATGCTCAGTCTTTGAAGACTCAGGTGGCCTTGTTCCACTCGGAGCATGGGAAGTCCTTATAGAAATCCTCTATTGTAAATACATAGGGGTAGAAGATGTCGAGGTCGGCCTCTGCATCAATTTAAAGACGTATACAAGTGGGACATGAATGATACAGGTATTGAGACAAATTCGTGGGACTGCATTACATAGAAATTCGGGAAAGGGAAGATAACAAGGAAGAAAATTATTGTAGGTATGTTAAGAGCTATACGTGTGAAAAGAAGCATATTTAATGAATGCTAGGTCAAAAATGGTCATGAAATCCCATGGACAAATTGTGGAAGACATTTCTGAAAGCAAAGCCCGTCTTGTTGGTCACACTCGTCATCTCCACGGGCTGTGATTCTCATTCCTCTACATTGCACAATAAAACACCGTCGTCTGAAAAGATGCTGCGGTTTTATTTAGATTCGACACATTGTTTGTATACATACTAAATTACCTTATCACTGGTTACTTGTAATGCATTTTAACCCCCCCCCCCCCCCAACCCCCAGGAAAGAAAGGTATCCTAGGGGTGTTATGGGTTGGGGTTACGGTTATTCGGTGTCTCTAGGGTGGTCGGGGCTGACTTTTTTTTTTTTTTTTACGTATCCAGAAACCATGAGTTGTAAACCCTTTGGCTCGGTACTATGGATATCGCAACCCTTCGGCCTTGATTCCATTATAGGTACCAGTTAATCTGGGAGAAATGTGGCTTTTCTGCCTACCCCCGGGAGTGAACCCGGACCACAAGGAGTTCGTCACCCGGCCGCCGCGAAAGTCAGGTTTAACCAACTTCGCTAGAGAGCCGGGCATCGGGGCTGACAAAGATCATAACCTTAAGCCCAAAACATCGCCAAAATATTGGACTTTCTGGAAACCTCGGAATTTCCTTTGGGGTGAATTTAAAATAAACTACTCGGGTACTGATTGTTGCTTACACAAAGAGAAGAATATAAAAAGAAGTAAGAATGTCTTAGATGGTGCGCTGGGTAAAAGGTGAAAGAATAAAAAATATCTGTAGACAGAACCATTATTCCCACACAGTCGAACTGTGACGAGCGAAAGCTTGGCGTACAGTGTGACGTGCTGTAAAGGCTGCGTGGTGATGTGTGGCGTACAAAGGTGAATAAGGGTGTCGCAATGTAACAGATGACATCAACAACTTAATATGCCACTGGCCAAGTGTAACACAACATGATGAATGTTGAAGCTTCCAAACGTAGCGGAACGAGAACTGTCTTTAAAGGTTCCATTTGTGTATTGACAATAGCAATAACTTAACAATAACTTCCGGTGTAAACAGCCACAATGGCGGTACGCTTTTTCGTCCGTTGAGGCGAATGGCGCAAATTAGCTATTTTCGCTCACGTATAATGTGAAAGTTTCATCGGAATGGGGTCTGAACCGTGCAATGGAGTACATGCACGTGAGTTTAGACTTCCCTCAGGGTGTATTCGACGTCCGATGGCGACTATTTACCAATTCAAAACAACCCGTAGCATCAGTGTCATGGTTCTCTTTGAACAATCACATTGTCAAGTCGGACTTACCAGAAGTGAAAATGCGTGATAATGTATTGATCAGAACCAACGTTATGACGTTTCTCGGGGTGAGGTTCGATCGCAGCTTGTCATTCAGGGAACACGTTGACCATGTGATAACAAAAGCACGCAAAGGTCTATCTGCAATGAGGATTATGGCTGCTTCCAACATTGCGCAAAGACTACTAATACTTCTATTCTACGGTCTGGTCCTTTCCCCCATTGAATACGCTCTGGCCATCCTCACTGTCAGTGCTACCCAGATTGAACCCAGATTTTGGGATGTACTAGAGACACATCCTGTGGAGCAATGAGGTATCTACTTGACTTTCCAACAATGAACCAAAGGATCAGGATGTGGAGGGCTCGGGCATATCTCAAAATATGTGCTGATAAGAAACACCCACTGCATCAAGCGCTTTTTAGTGAAAAGGGCGACAGACTGAAGAGGGGGAAATCGTGGCTAGGTCGGGCAGAAGATGTTATTAGGCAAATATGCAGCCTAACCGACATCATACCTGGTGCAGAATGGATACCTGTGCCTCAGGCGTTTATTTGTACATTTTCCTGTATTGTCACACTCAACAGGCGATGTAGAGAAGAGAATCCTGTTGCTGTTAATGCAGAGGTCAACGCTCTCATCGGTGAAAATTCGGACGAAGCAGATGCAATAATCTATACAGACGGATCCGTTATACGCCAAAGAAGAAGCGCATGGGCATTTACAGCACGCTCAGCGGGCAGAACAGTCAAAGAAGCCAACGGCGCCTTCTCCATGACAACCAGCAGCATGACGATGGAGGTGATGGCAGTGACACAAGCGCTTGCCTGGCTTGAAACACAAAAATACACCCGCGTGTGTATACTCAGTGATTCAATGAGTATGATCCGGAGGGTTCAGGCAGGTTCAGTGCGAAGACAATGGCTTGAATCATTACAGAAGTCCACTGTCCGTGGAGTCACCTTTATTTTTGTTCCGGGACACGCAGGCGTCGATGGAAATGAAAGAGCTGACAGGTTGGCTGGATCCGCTATCACTACCGACGGTCAGCCTATGGATCATGCTGATATTATCAATGCCCTCAGAGAAATGGGAAGGATAGACGACTTTGGTGGCAGTGAATCCACATCACTCGCCAGAATGGCAGACTTGGGAATTAAGATCGGCACAGCAAAAAACGAGACGCACACCAGCTACGCCAGAAGACTGTTAATCAACATAGAACTGGTACTATTAGCCATCGGACGTTGGGGGTTCATACTGAGGGGAGGATCTGATAACTAACTAACTAACTAACAATAGCAATGATCAACACAAGGAGAAGATATGTAATTAATAATCCAGACTCATCCAAACACATCAACACAAGCCCGCTCGTACATCCATAGACTTATAAATTCTCACGACGGGTCGCAATCCGACCTTGAGATCCAGACAGTCATCTATATCTTCTGTTCCGCAGTCTGAATAAGGTAATGTAAGTATACCGGCTTACTGCCGAACTGTGACAATATACCAGCTTTCTGCTGAGGTTTATAGTGGAGTCCCGGGGTAAAACTTCCTCAAGGATCCAACTATATACAACGTCTGCTTCCGTGGCATCCCGGGGTAAAGCGTCCTCAAGGATCCACACGTCCGTCTCTTTCAGACTGTAAACATCAACTGCCTTTGACAACAATACCTTCACCACGTTACGTATTGTTCTGACGTCTTATTTGCTCACTCAGTACTGGCGCGTTCTAGTGCACATCCGCACGCGACACGGACCTCTAACCTCACTAATCAGTTCGCAGTTTTGTTTATTTGTTTCTTAAAGTAAATGGTTGAAAAATCTGATACGTGTGGCTGGAGAGTTGTTTCTGATAAACACAGCTATGCCCATTGGATTTCTCTGTTTTGTTTTAAATACTGATGCAGCTAAGAAAGTCTTTTCACACAAATAGGAAGTCTAATGAGTGAATCAAGAAGTGACATTTCTACACCCCGGACATTCCCAGAGGTGCTCCGTTTCCTTCTTCTGTAGCTAAATGGGAAGTCGAGAGGGAAAAAGGGGGGGGGGGGGGTGGTGATACATAGAGCCTGCAATTCTGTATGCTGGTGATATGGGAGAATAAGAAAACAAGTCAAGAAACAACGAAATAATAGTGCAAGTGTGCTCAATGCGAAACAGATTAAGCATACCAGAGACGAATGAATGAATGAAGATTTGACATCCCTGCCAGGGCTGCCAATGGGATTTTTTTAACACCCAGATAAGCTGAACAAAAACCCAAGCAATTCTTGGGCAAGGAAAATAAAAACTTAGATTGTTAAAAAGTACAAATTGTATAGTTACGATACGAAACATTTACCTACTTTTATATAAGGATATATTAAAAAAAAAAAAAAGATTTTAAAATTTGAACCCAAGGCGTCAAATAAAAACCCAGATCTGGGGGTAAAAACTCATCTTGGCAACCCTGATCCCTGTACTTGGGACATTCCCCACACGCGTTCTGTCCCCTTCTTTAGTAACTAACAAAGAGTCAACATGCTAATTACCAATTTAAATGGAAATCACTTTACGAATACGGTGAAGTATTAGCCGCAAATGGCGACTTCCCAGATTTAAAAGTTCATGAACTATTTTCTTCTTTCCACAGTTCAACCCCCACCTTACGATTCAAACCGACGAAATGTGATCCCTATAAATCGAGCCGTAATACCTTTTAGCCCGCCACCGGAATACAAGGAGCTGGCAACGCCACTGGCAACGCACAGGAACCCGACACGTTATGGAGAAACAAACTATGTCTCACCCAACGGTAAGTGGTAGACAGAGGCGTCTCTATGTTGTGTTATGTTATGTTATGTTATGTTATGTTATCACAATCGACGTCTTTGCACATTCTCCCAGATTTACGATATTTAAAATGGAATCAAGGCCGAAAGGTTGCGATATCCATAATACCGAGCCTAAGGGTTAACAACTCATGGCTTCTGGATACTAAAAAACAAAAACCTCTAGGACGGCATAGTCGTGCTTCACCAAGCTTAACTTCTCGGTCACGAAGTCGTGTTAGCGTCAGAGATTCGCCATTATCTCTCAACCGAATCCGTACGGCGTTGATGATATCAGCTTTGTCCATGCTTTTTCCCGACTGTGTCATTCTAGATGCGTTAAATATTAATCAATAGTTTAATATCATCATCATCCTGTAACACTGCGAGTCGTTGGGTCACCAGTTACTGTTGACTATCTGATCAGCTCCCTCTGTGTTTGACAAGTAACATTATATGGACTTTATGGTTGCATGCCTAAGACCTGTCCAGTCAGTCAAGCTCTGTATCCAAGCTTTTTGTGTGTGTGTGTGTGTGTGTGTGTGTGTGTGTGTGTGTGTGTGTGTGTGTGTGTGTGTGTGTGTGTTGTTCGCCCGTTCTCCTCTTCACTCCCTGTAGTGTTGTTTTGGAGAGACGGTTAGATCTTATTTTATGTCGGCATCAGAAATTATATCTAGGATTTCCCAGACATTAGTCCTTGAGTTAAATTACGTTCCTTTTAAACCCAGCACTGACTTAACAGTGGGACTAACGTCCGAGTCCGTCGTGTTTGGTTCACATCACAACTACAGTGGGATCTTTTTGAGTTCACAAGGCTTTGTGTTTGATCTGTCCAGTCAGTATTCTTCCGCCTCTTCTGTTTGATACGATTGTCCAGGAATGGAGTATTCATGCATGCATTGTCCTGTTATGTCGCTGTATGTCACATAGGGCTCGCAGTCTGTTTCTCCACTCCGCTCTATCCTGTGCAATCACTTCGATATCATGGAGGAAATCTAGTCCAGCACCTTAGCCTCTCTCATCAACGTTCGCCCCAGAGTTTCTCTTGGACATTCTCGTTTCCTTAGCCCCCCCCCCCTCTTTCTTCAGTACCTGTTTAGTGATTCAGTTTGTCTCTGCTAAGAATGTATCCAATATAACGCCGTCTTCTCTGTCTTGTAACTGTTGATGTCAGTGGATGCTGGGACCTTTCTCTCTCCCCCCCCCCCCCCACTACTCTTGAATCCATCCCATTATTTTTTTTCTCAGGCAATTGTTACCGAATGCATTCAACTTTCGTTCCATATCATTAGTGGTTCTCCCACTTTTACTGGCACAAGTTAAAAATGAAATAACATTTCCTTGAGGTGTTAACCACATAAACTGCAATCTAGGAGGGGTGGGGGCACTCAAATACAGCAGTAGACGTTTAAAGGGGTAGACAGTAATAGAACAACAGAGAACGAAGAGGAGATGAGGAGGAACGGGGAGAGAGTGGTGGCTTCAGAGTAGAGAAGGAATTGACTTGTCCCAATTCCCAACTATTTACGTTAATTACTAAATTAATTTATTCTTGTCTATCTTACTGCAGGCTACAGCTCCCATCCGGACAATACTGACACCCTCACTGGCGACGCAGCACATGTAACTACAGTGACTGTGGACACGAACTATTTCAACAGTTCTGTTACCACCGGCAACAGCAGAACAGACAACATTAATCACAACAATCGCAATTACATTAACAGAAACACAATCACAACAACAAGAAATGGCCATGTCAGTAGCATTACCCACATTCAGCCACAAAATGTTGCTACAGATGGCCGGGATCTGATGTCGCGATCTTCCAGTAGTTATTCTGATAATAGTCAGTATTCTTACAAAAGAAACAGGCAAGTGAGTTCTGTTAATGAGAGACAGAGACATGCTCACACAGTGATCACACAGGAACTCAGTGCAGCCGCACTCATGCGACAGCAGAATGCTAACATAAGCCTGTCAGTAAACACAGTCAGTTCAGCAAAACCAGGCGACAATCGTGTACATAAATCTTACAGTCGTAACACTGCAAACAGTTTCAGCAACTCCACAAATAACCACAACTATAACGGTTTACTGAGTGCTGGAAGAAACCCACACCAAACAGAAAGAAATACTGCCAGTGAAGTCCAAGCGGACAGAAGTAACAGTTCGCGGTATGTACCCTCTAGGATTACACCGACTGCACAGACTCCAAGAAACTTCCGTGATGTGAATTTTGTTACAATTACTCCGGTGCACAACTCAAACAGAGGGTTGCCCACTAGAGATGGCGCAACAAGGCAAAATACAGACTATGTCAGTAAAAGTGACCGGATTTCGGGATTGAAAGAACTCTCTCTAATTTAAATTTTCGGTGTACTGCATCCTTCTTAGAGAACGTAAATAAATTAGCAATCTAAAAACACACACACAATTACAAATATTATGTTGTCGACGTAGAAACCAAGTTGTTGAATCGACTTTACAAGGCAGCGGCCTAATTTCGCCGCAAGTATTGACCGTTGCATTGCCCAGCTGTGACGTAACACACCACTGATCGCTGGAAGAAACGCGGACAGAGTTTATATCAACCCTGTACAGACTAGACTGGTGGAAATGACGAATATTTTGCGCTAACACGATTATGTCACCTGGGAGTAAAGCCTGGTGAAGCATGCCTACGCGATTTTCAAGGTCAAGATCTGTTATATTTAACTAGCTTCTCACAGGAACAATCAGTATCGGTATCGTGTATGGCGGATGCATCAGATGATCGAATACGTATGGGAATGCCCAGCGTGTTAACATCAACACATCACTGAGATACATGGCCTGGGAATGAAGAATGCCCTGTTTGTAATAAATACTCAACAGTTGTTTTGGCATTATCTTGTTTGCCTACTGTAGGGGAAAACAGAAGTCACTGAAAGAACAAGATAATTAAAACACGTATGCGTTAACTGACATTCTCAAGAGAAAAGTAAGGGAACAAGGAGATTCGAAGACGTGATAGGCATCATAAAATTTAAAGCTTATCTGTGATAAAGCATTCTGTGATTAGCACATTCAGCATCTATATATATATATATATGGTGTGTGTGCGTGCATGTGTGTGTCTGAGAGAGACATTTTGTCTTCTTCTTTTAATAATGGTGCCCTTGAAGTTCACTGCTGCAGAAATCACCAACCTGGATTCATCTTTCTGACTGGCCTCTTTTTCCAGTCGGTGACTCAAAGTGTTTGTGGGTCTGCCTGTAAATTATCTCTTCATCGTCTGCCCTGCGGTCTTCTCCCTTTCAGCTCTTTTGTGGACACAGTTTTTGTCTTTTCGTTAATCTGCTATTCCTTCTGTGTGCCCAAAACAATAACATAACATAACCCTTGACCTGTTACGCGTGGCGCAAATGGGGGTGGGGGCTAAACTAGATGGCTGGGATTCACGAGTATCAGCTACTGCAACTTCCTCCAATTTATTTGCTCGTGAGTCCCAACCATCTAGTTTAGCTCTCTATCCGCCCCGCGGGAGATACTCTCGGCGGTGAAAACTGCGTTACCATATTTAGCCGAGTTTCAATGGCGCCACAAAGAGCGAATTTTCGGGAACTATTTGTAACTTCTGTGCCACTATTTTCAGATATACAGGCCTCAATTGCCGCTAAGTAGTCATTATTTTCGAGTTCAAGTTTTTGAATGTTTACAACACACGACCTGAATCTAATGAGGCTCTCTCAGGGTGTGTTTTTGGTCGCCATGATATGTGGCCGTTATTCGGAGGATAGCCCGAACAAGTGTTTAATAACTCAATCCTGTCCATTTCTCAATGTGGTAACTCTAGGTTCTTCTTTTCTTCTACTAACACACCCCCCCCCCCTTCCCTTTTCAAGTGATCATTGAAGCAGTCTTTGCAATCGAATCATGTCTCATCAGACATTATAGTCAATTAGACTTCCTGATGTCAGTAATCAGTGGTAACTCAACACAGATGAGAAATTAACAATTCCCCCGTGTGGGTTCTAGGCCTCCACTGTGGGGGAAACAGAATAGACCCCTAGCTTTCCAGCAAGCATGTCGTAAAAGGCGACTAATTAGGGGTGGTTCTTTCAAAGACAGAGTACACCTACCTGAGATGCAAGGAACCAACAGTCTGCATAAAATAAGCCAGGTTTGTAAAATGGATCAGCATGTAAATCTCAATTTCTGAAACAAGATCAATATCCAGAAGTGGACAAACAATCAGAATTTGTTGACAAGAGTTTAACCGGTCAATGAAAAGATTTACCAATAACAGATAAGCATTATCATAAAATATTTAAGCCCTTTGGTTTATCAGTTTTCTGATTATGTATTCCACTGCTGTCTGTCTTGTTCTGCTCTCGGTATCTGATACACGTGTACTTGTTTATTGTCCCTTGCCTACCTAATCCGCTATCCCCTAGTAATGTCCCTCTAGTACCTCACTCTGTAACATATTAAGATGTGACCAAGCCATGAGTCTTCATATTTCTTTTTTCATTACCTTAAATTGTTTTCTCTGTTCTGTTAAATTGTCTTCTTCTTTACTTCCTCTTTTACCGCTTCAGGTGTCCAGGGAGATACAAGGTCCTGCTTCTTGCTTTTCTGGCTGCTCTGACTATAGTCACATCATGGTGCTGAAGAGTTTCTCTGATGTTATCTTCCCATATTGTTCTTGGTCTACCTCTTGCTCTATGCCCTTCTCTTTTGGTATTTGCCTTGTATGATATAGCATGAGAAGACATTCTCTCCAAGTGGGCAAACCACTTGATTTGCTGTCTTTGTATGTAATTTAGAATTGGTTCTGTGCTGCCTTTATCTCGTTTGACCTAATTCCTGATCTTATCTCTTTAGGTCACTCCTAGTCTTTCTCACACACCTCATGTCCATGGTTACTAATATGTTTTGTTGTGAGTGACCACATCTAGCATTGATTTCATAGGATGGGAATAATTATGCTTTGTATGATATATTTATTTGTGCAGAGTGGGATTGTCTTATGCCAGGGCTATTCAACTGGCGGCCTGCAGGCCACATCTGACCCGCGGAGACCAAGCAAGTGGCCCGCGGATCATTGCCAGTTGTATTATATTATTGATCTGTCTATGCTTGGGCTCATGACTTTGGCCCCTGACGATCCCCAGTTGAAAAAATGTGGCCTCTGAGTAAACTTAGTTGAAAAGCCGTCTTATGCTGTAAGAGGGGAGCTAGCTGTCCCAATACTTGGCCTGCTTTACTGCATCAGATGTTTATTCCTTTGTCTCCAATTCACCCTCTTCAGTGAATGCTGTTCCAAGACATTCAAACTCAGATGCCTGTTTAATATATATATGCACTAATGCTATATTTAAATTCTGCTTCTTTCTTCATACAGAGATCACTTCTGTCTTTTCGATGTCGATTCTGATGTTGTTAAATTGTTGGATGAAATCAAATGTGCTGGCCCAAAGACATAAATATTGCAGCTATGCAGAAACAGGCATAACTTTGGTGAAATGCTCAAGAACTTAAACTTTTCAAATTAAAAAAAAATCTAACTGGTTCTCATCATATGTTTTTGACAATACCACATCTACAAAGCCTCTAGGCTATATATTTGTTGTCATGCTTATTTCTAGTTCATATTTCACCACAATAATGTCCATGTGTACTGTCAGATGTATTCTCTCCACAGTTCAAGTTGTATATACTTGAAATATGTAAATATGATGTACATACCAAAATCAGTAACAATCCCCCAATCTGAATTCAGCTATATTTTTCAAACAAAATTACAGATTAATCTGATTGATTCACCATACATAAATTATGAGACCATAAATTCTGTATACTCCATACACAAATTACCCAACCATGAATTTCTTTAAAACTGCTGATAGAGAAATCTGGCGATCTCTTTGGCAAACCTCCACTCCCCGGGGTAGAAAAGGAGCAAATAAGTGAATAAGAATTACTTATTTCACATACATAAATATTATCTCCAAAAAAAAAAGCAACCCAGATGTACTCTCTAGACAAAACTTACCCCAAAGCCAATGGCAGATTTATTATCCACATAAAAGTTATCTTCACATGAATAACAACTTTACTGTCCACTCTAGATTTTTTTCTCCACAGGGATTAGCCAAACATAAATGACAGATTTATTTTCCAGTTACCCAAATATGAATCACATATTTATCCTCCACACAAAAAGTTATAAAAAAAAAACACACACACACATAAATGACAAGTTTATTCTCCCCATCAAAGTTACCAAAAGCAAAAATGGTACATTTATTCTCCACAAAAAGTTTATGAAAAATCAGATTTATTCTCCAAACAAGGTACCCTAAACATAAATAGCAGACTCTACACACGAAAATTACCCCAGGATGAATAATCAATTTATTTCCCACTCAAAAGTTAGCCCAACAGGAAGTGACAGATTTATTATGCACAACAATATTACCCAAACTTTCATGACAGATCTATTCTACACAATTATTCTTCAAAATGAAATCGACATATTTATTCTGCCAACATATATGAGCAATTAGTTGTAGTAAAGCACACCAGACATACAAGAAGTCTTGTTAACCAGCGTAGTAAACAGACACTGTATTGATCGGCACCCATAGAAGGATGAAGAAAAGTAGAAGGTCACCCTAGATAACATAAAAGTCGAAAGCTATAGTTACCATACGTTGAATAAAACCTGTTGCCTCGCTATGGTATGATTCCCGGCATAGTAACTATAGCTTTCAATGTTTATATTGTCTAGTGTGTCATTCTATCTTTCTACAAGTACCGATCAATACATTGTATGTTAGTTTATTATTTATATAAAATATTTTTATGGCCCCAAGGGTACCCCTCTGTTTGTTTATGTTAACCAGCAGCAGACTGGCAATATGAACCCTTTTGATGCTTCAAAACACCCCCCCCCCCCATTTTCCCATGCTAAGCGAGGTGAATGATGTCCCTTTCTCTTGTGCAGAACATAAATTCTTTTTATCCAGAAACATAATGACATGCTAGCGGCGCTGGCTAATATTTTTACACCTTAAATAAAAACCCTAGGAAGGTGTGTGGTTGGCCCATGTACTGACAAGTCAGATGCACTATGAGGACACACACAAAAAACACTATAAATTTACACAGCAAACATAAAACACTACAATAAGCAAATACATAGTTTTTAATATTGTTAATAATGTTTATTTGTTTGTAAAGTATTTTAAAACAAGTATAATACACAATGCCAAATTACAGTCCTTGCACCTGTGTCTGGTTTCCTGCCACTTTTTGCATTTTTTTTTTTGGGCGAATATCGCACATTTTCTTGTTGGGCCCTTCTTCTGTGATGTTTTGGATTCTACTGTTGAAGGACAATGCCTCTGCACCAACCAAAGTGGCAGATCGCCCTTCCTTTGACCTGTTACTCTGTCTCTTTTCCTTGCAATATTTTTCTAGAATTCTCTTATTAATGTTAAGTGAAAATCGGCAACAGGAGCGTTTCCCCCAAAACAACTTAATATCAGGAATGTGCAGTTAAAATTGAGAGATCTAAGTGGAGGGTGGGTGGGGTGGGATCATTTTGCATCATTTTACAGTTTTTCAAATCGAAGTGACAAGCATGTCAGTACGATCTACTAACCCCATGCATTTGTTGTAATCCACAACACAATTTAGCTTTACAACATTTTATCCAGTTTTTCTATCTTTTTCTTGTCCCTGTTGCTACCATTTCTGAACTGTGGCTTGTTGTTAGCATCCACACTTCTCGTTTATCACACCATGTGAAAGCTAACAAAAATGAAGCAGACTTGGAGCTAATTCCTCCTTTCCTCAACTTCTGCTACATTTTCGGCATATTTTCTGAATTTTCGAACAGTGCCATATAGGTTTGTAGATTGGTCATGAAGCTACATAAATAATTCTGGACCACTGTACAGTTATCCACACAAAGCGTACAGCTTTTTTTGTAAAATAAAGGCATCAAATGAAATACACTATTAGCCCCCTTCAGTGAACCTGCCACAGTAATGTCATTCTTAATACCGGTGTCCACTATAAAATCTAAAATGTACCTATTTCTACAATCCCACACAACGGAAGTCTTCAAGCTAAGTTTGCTTCTCTTTGAGAATGTACTTTAAAAGACAACCTTCATTTGAAAAGTAGTGAATCATCAACAACTGCATCTCAATAAGGTGAAAATACACCCCAAAATGATGAATGCAAACTGTCAATAACACATCTAATTGTTTAAAATCTATCACCACCTGCAGCAATACCGTTGTCAGAGAAGTGTAATATTCTCAACAATAAATACAAGTACATAATTCTATTGAACATTGGCATTCTCAGTAAATAGTCTTTGGTCCTAAAGTAATCGATTTTGAGTTTATTCGATCTGGACATTAGCAGACACACAGACATTTTTCTTTTTGTTCAAGCCTGTGTATGTCCGTTGGGAAAGACGAGAGCTTAAAGTGACATGTGCCTTCACAATGACATACTTGCTAAACTGGTTACAAATTATCTGTGATGAAAGTCACCAGTGATTCCATTTTAAAAACAAATAGAAAGAAAAAATGAAGCACTGAACTGTTCTGATTCAAAAGCCCGAATCTGGCCCGCACAGACCATGCATGTGGCCTATGTCTCAATGCCAAAAGGAGTGATCTTTGTAAGCAGGGGGCTTGGGTCTCTGGCCTATGTAAATCCCCATTTTTAAGATTTTGGCCCCTCAGTAAGTTTAGTCAAATAGCCCTGCTGTCTGCCATCAAATGTCCTTGTAAATCAGATGGTATTTGGGGATATCCTTGGGGTCAAGAGGGCTTCGAACCATGACCCTGCCTTTCATGGCACCTCGGTAAATCACCTCCACCACATCAATAAAATCTTGCTTGTGTTTAAAGCTTCCCACAAACTTTGTGTGATCTGGACTCCTGAAAGGAAATGAAAGATCAGTATTTGAAACAATCAGTGATTGTAACATTAGTTACATCATCATGTCATGCCGTTACATGCCACATATTCCATAGTCTGTGCCACATGACACTGGTAGTCATGTCTATCCACAACCTTCTGTCTTGTATACTTTCCATCAACTCTGACACAAATGATCAGAAGACGTCAGAAGACTTGTTAATCAACATAGAACTGGTACTATTAGCCATCGGACGTTGGGGTTCATAATGAGGGGAGGATCTGAGCACCTATGGACATGTCCGGAGTGCAATGATGATAACCCAACTAACTAACTACTAACAAATGATCTTTCATGCTGTATGGCGTGGGTAGTCATGTCTATCCACAACCTTCTGCCTCCTGTACTTTCAATCAACTCTGACACAAATCACAGCACTCATGTGCATCATTCTCCCCAGCCCACATTTATCTAGTTTCTCTTCTGACTTCGTTACTTGTTCCTAAAGGGCTCTGACCACATCTGCCTTGTCATCTATCAATTTACCACCCAGTGGTGTCGATCCAGCCTGTCTGTCTGCCTGTTAATTCCCCATCACGTCAGCATAACAGGAGAAAAGATCCAAAGTATGCTCACTACCCGTGACCTTGCAAGTGAAGCTTGCCACTCTGCTCAAAGCAATCCCATGTTCACCTTTTTCAGCATGCTTTCAGAGTCCGTTTCAATTATGACATGTGTGTGTATTTTTTTTCTCTAGCCACCTGCAAACTGCAGTGACCACCTCCACCCTCATGCTAGATGTTGTGGTATCTTTACGATGTTTAGGCCACTTAACCCCCCTCCCCCCTTTACCCAATGTGTGTGCCACAACATTGTTCATTTAAAGATCATCTCCACCGAGTATGTCTCCAAGTGTTTTGAGGCTAACAACCCCCAATTGTGCCACAACAAAGTAAAGTGGCTATAGTGCAGCCAGTGCTGTCTTTGAGAATATTACATGGTGAAGCCAAAGTGTACCTCTTGTACCTCTGTTTACAAAAAAATTAATTTAAAAAAAAATTGAATGAAAAAAAAAACAGCTGTTGAGAATGGTGGAGACAGGCATGCTCCAGGCAAAGTGGCAAGCCTCACTTCACAGATCCTGGGTAGTTAGCATCCTTTGGATATTTTCTCTAGGGCATGCCGGTGTCTAGGGAAATGAGCAGGCAGATAGACTGGCTGGTTCTGCATCACTTGGTGGTGAATTGATGTATGATAAGTTACATGTTGTGAGGGCCCTTTGGGAGCGAGTTAGTACGAAGGCAAAGATAGATCGTTATGGTCTGAGGAGAATGGCACTGCAAGGTGTTACCAGGGGATCTGGCCGACACTTGACACTCAAGGGAAAGGCAAGGCAGATATACAATCAGACAGTTACTGGTACCATCGGAACTGGAACTCTTCGCTTGCTGCTGAAGATGGGGATGAAGCACTGATGACAGTGTCCCGAGTGCTGTGATGTTGATTCAGCTTTCAACATGGTTAAAACTACAAGAATTTTCTCAAATATAAAGTCCTCCATGAAATTAAACCCTAGTACTCAAGGATCATCAAACTGTAAAATGCATTCACTAACCCCTAAGACAACAGAGCCATTGCATGCCACTTATAAATGTAACATTATCTTTGCTTTGTCCTCCAACAACCGGCCTGCATCTGTTTGCACCAACAGAGAGCTGTAATTCTGGTGTGGGACCATTAGTGTTGGCATATCTGAAAGTTACGGAGCGATCCCTCTGCAGTGATGCTGGAGGGTGATTTCCACTGGCACAGAAATGAAGCAGTTATGGAGCGATCCCTCTACAGTGATGCTGGAGCCCAACTTTATCTGTCATTTTGTTTCATCCATGGAGTGCACCACTTACTGATGACTTTGGAGGCTCCTGCAGTTTGACTGCTGGCAGTGTTCTATGTGGCTAAAGAATCAATTCTGCTGTTCTGTATCTGGTACATAAATAAACAGTTCTAGACCAAGCATTACAGTCTGCTGTGCTCGTAAATTGTTGCTGTGTTTGTTATTCAACATATGCTTCATTAATATAAATTTATGTAACCTATGGTGCCATTTAAATGGTTTGAGATGAATTCTGTCTGTATTCCATAGTTGTGGATTTCAAGCTGTACGATAGACATGCCAACAAAGTTGGTCATGTTCTTAATACGCTTGTCTCCATAGCCAGGCGCACACGCCATCTGGAGGTGATAGGTTTGATTACCGGCATGGTAACTATAGCTTTCGATTTTCTTTTTTTCTAGTGTGTCCTTCTGTCTTTCTAGTTCTTTCCATGAGTGCCGATTAATACAAATGTCTCTTTGTTAATTATATATATATATATATACACACAGATCGTGATCTGCGGAGACGCATGAGCGCCTATGCCAGTTGGCAGGGCACATAATGACGATGATATATAATCTAGTACAGTGTTGTTCTGCAGTGTGAAATGATTCCTTGCAAAAATAAACTGCTGTAGAACCAACTTTTAGCTTTGTGTATTATTATCCCTATATTCCCCGTGTGGGTTCTGGAACCCCATTGGGGGGCAAACAAGAATAGATCTACTGCCTCCCCAACAAACATGTCGTTAGAGTTGACTAATTGGGAGCTTCCTTCAAAGTCAGAGTGCATCTGCCTGAGAGGCAAGGAACCAGCAGTCTGCATACAAGGATGTCAGATATGTAAAATGAATGTGCATGCAGCACTCAGGTTCTGGAACAAAACTAATGGCCACAGGTGGACGAGCAACCAGAACCTTCCGCCGGAGTTTACAGCCGGTGAACGCGAAGAAGAAGAAGATTATTCCCATATCTTCTTTCTTCTTCGCGTTCACCAGCTGTACACTCTGGCGGAAAGTTCTGGTTGCTCGTCCACTACTGAACTGCAGTCCTGCTCCAGAACCTGAGTGTTGCGTGTGCATCAGTTTTACAGATCTCATTCTCCTGAATACAGACTGTTGGTTCCTTGCCTCTCTGGCAGATACACTCCGACTTCAAAGGAAGCTCCCCAATTAGTCGACTCTTAGGACATGCTTTTGGGGAGGCAGTGGGTCTATTCTCGTTTTCCCCACAATGGGGCCCCGGAACCCACACAGGGGTACATATCCCCATATGAGTTACAATATTGACAGGAGGAAAAATAACCACCGCCAGCTAAAAAGGCAACTAATTAGAGTTTTGCTGAAATCAGATGTATTAGACCAAAAGGTGCAGATATCACAGACACGCTGTAAACCACAATATAATGTGCCAACCTCATAAAAGAAGAAGTGTACTATTAATATTTACCAAAATCAAATATCTCTGAGATACAGTTATGTATAAAACATAAAACAAACATCTGACATTCATTATTAAACATATAATATCATGCCAGGCCACTCAGTACAATGACAGACAGGTCCTGTCATACAGGTTATTCAGTCTGACAACCAGCTGGTCATGTCAAGTAGACTGATTATTCTCAGACTGAAATTCTTGTCATACGCACTAAAAATCGAGTTTAATTCTGGGCATAAACATATTCTTTTGAAATTAATCTTGTAGTTTCCCCTCACATTCCATATCTACATATGGGATATGTACATGTTATAAATAGTTTATAGTAGGTAGTTTTTGTGTGTGTAATGGGGCAGTTTTTTAGGTATACTGTTCGTTCTGTGCATGTTTTTCTTCAAGCTTTTTTAAAAGTACTTTGGATTTTTTTATTCTGTCCTCCTCTTTTTAATCACATTTTTTAATGATATGAAAAGGGTGTGAGTGTATGGGGTTTTGCCATATGTTCAAGGGCGTCACCTAAAAATATTGAAGACCACTGCTGAAAAGGTACACATTAAATTTGTCATCACTTTTACATTTTTTAATTGGTTACATGAAATCACAGTCCTGCACTTATTTTACAACATCTGGTGACAATATGAGCATTACTATCTTACCCCCAGTCAACTTTGATATGCTGGCCATTGAAGAAGAATATCGTTGAAGGGATGAGAGAGATGTCAAAGTACTGGGCATACACAGGAACTTTGTCGACATCTACCAAATAAATGGCAGCCATGTTTGCCAAGTCTTCAGCAGTCTTTGCAAGCTGGAAAAGTTAAGAAAAAACTTTCTGTGAAACCACTCATTTTAAAATAAATGCATGACTAATTTTCAAATATGTAATTTCCCAAAAAGGCATTAAAGAAACTGTCGAGTGCGCCATGAAATCATGAAGTTTTCTGTAACAGGTTACAACATTACGACCTCGATTATCCAGCATTCTTATCTAAACTGTTCCTACTGCCAACAAAACTCCATTCAACAACAAGCAGGAAGGATAATATCTATAAATTATCGCTTGCAGCATTAGGAAATGATGGCTGGCCGAGAGATTAGCTCTACCCAGGATCAAATCCTCAGTAAGGTGATGACTGCGTTCTCTGTCAGGGGCAAGAATAAACATTCTAAATCCCCCTGTGGTGGAAAACAAGAACAGACTAACTGCCTCCCCAAAGAGTCAACTAACTGGGTGCTTCCTTCCAAGTGCATCTGCCTGACAGGCAAGGAACCAACAATCTGCATACAGATAAGTCAGATGTGTAAAACAGATGTGCATGCAACACTCAGATTCTGGAACCATACGACTAAAGTCCCAAGGTGCCTAACAACCGTGAACTTGAATCAACTGAACTGCAGTCACCCCCATATTTAATTTTAATTATTTACGTCATTACTAAATTTATTATTCAGATTTTGATCAGTCATGGCAAAATGGACAGCAGTACATCTATTTCGATTTTTATAATAATGCTTGTCTGTTATGGGCATTTTGATGGCCTCCATGATCAGAAAATGAATTTCTTTCCTCACAGACACATATCTTGAGCATTTAAAAGAAATTGAAAACTGTAATATCAGACATATCATAATATATACTAGCCAGCAAACAGATCCCATAGGACATAAATAAGTTATTAAAGTAGAATTGTTTTTTTTTACTCTTACCTTATGAAATGCTGCTCTGTGAAAACACAACATAAATCCAAAGCGAATCACAAAGGAACTTATTTAATAATTTTACTCTACAAAAACACAGCACTGAATCACAAATCGGGAATGAGAGAATACCTTAGATTATTTTACAAGTAAATAAAATACTGAGCAGTGACTGGTTAAGAAAAAAAGGGGACACTATGGCGAAAGGCACTTGTCGTCAATAAAATGAAAAAACAACTCACAAAGACAAAAGGGGATTATGTTAAATCAGTAAGAAGGGTGCTGATTGGTAGTTAGTTATCAAACAATTTTGGGATCTCTGTAGCAAAGTGGTCAAGCCGTTAATCTTGCGCTCGAAAGGTTGTGATGCGTTCATTTCACAACTACATTGTTAGGTTCAAAAATGTTTTTTTTTTTCAACGGAGACATCTGTAGGCTGTTGCTGGAGCTACGGTATTCAGGCTTCATGCTAAGCTCTCAGCATGCGGCTAGCCGTTTACAGTTCTGTGGAGAAAGACCAAGCCATACGAAACAACACCAGTCACGATGCAATGAAGTCAATCCACTCGCTATTGAACATTTTTTAACAGTGGAAAAAAAAATTTTTTTGTCAGATGTACAAACATACACAAGTGACAGTGAAGAAAAAGTATTTTTCAACTAATAAGAAGAGATACATCATAACAAAGAATCATTACAAAGTATGCATATTACAGTATACATCTTGCAATACTCACTGGATGCTAAGCCAATCATTAATTTGTGAGGTATTAAATTAATACTGATTAACTGACTCATTTTTATGTTAATTAGGTTTGCATCACATCATGTTATGACAAGAGGGAAAATAGAACATGTTGTGACCACTGGAAAGATATGTGGAAGGAGAGATAGAGGAAGACAATGAGAGAAGATGCTTGACAGTCTTGTTGCATGGCATGGAGGTGTGTCGGCACACGAACTGATACATGCTGCAGGAGATCGTGGATTATGGAAAGGCATGATCGCCCACGCCAGTCGGCAAGGCACCTGATGATGATGATGATGATCACATCATATTTAAAAAAAAAAAAAGGCAACATCTGTAGTTAAAGCTTGTTGCTCTGAATGCAATGATACATGGTTGCTAAGGGGTTCAGCAAAAAACGTAAGAGTTATAGACATTAAGCATACAAATTATGTCACTTTAGGTCCAGTTTTCACTTGGGAACATGCCGCCATCTTGTTTCTGTAATTTCTCATTATAATTTTGGGGAGCACTTTCCCGGTTCCGTCACTGAAATGTGAAAATTTCTGCTTAGAATTGACACACAGACTTCAATGAGGTACCATTGGACTCTGTTTTTCAACCTCTATCCAGCTGTCTTGGTTTAGAAGTAAAAAAAAAGAAAAACAATATTTAAATTTTGGGCTCTCCGTCGAACTTCTATCCCGGCATTATGGCGGCCAAACAAATACCCTAACAGGGCCTCAGTCCTATGAAAAATGCGGACTTGTCGGACTTTCTCCTGAGGAACAAATCGCAGCAAAACTAGGATCGGCTCCGAATAACAGAACAAAGGCTCTAACAGGGTCTCAGTGATATGTTAATTGCGGACCTGTTTCTGCGGCTAAGCCGCACAGCCAACAGTATCTCCCGTTTTGGATGGGGGCTAAATTAGATGGCTGGGACTTACAAGCAGCACCTACCGCATCTCCTACAACTTCCTCCAATTTATTTGCTCGTGAGACCCAGGCATCTAGTTTAGATCCCCATCCGAGCCTCGCGTAGCGGTGCAGGGTTAATGCTCTGCGGTGAGTTTAATCGGAAGAACACTATCGCTAATAAGCGTCAGAGCACGTGGTCTCCCCGCCATCTCCATATTATTGTCTGTAATGTTGCATGTCTCGAAATTGTCAATGGTCGCTAGTATCTCCCGTTAGTATCGTTTGCAGAATCAGAAACGCTCGAAATTGTCAACGATCGCTATTATTACGATAATAATTATCGTCTGCTACTAATACTATCGTCTGCAGTGTTGCGTCTCTTGAAATTGTCAGGTTACCTGAGGTAATCCTGGGCTCTCCTTTAAATAACGGTCGCTAGCTGGAAGGCGACGGCCGTTTAGTCGGAGTTCACTCCCCTGGCTGCAGTGCAATTACGGAGTGGAAAAAAGGGAACGAAACAAATGACACTTACCTGTCATCCTAGGGTTAGGCTTAGGGTTTGGGGTAGGCTTAGGGTTCGGAGTAGGGTTAGGGGTTAGCTTAGGGTTAGGGTTTGGGGTAGGGGAAAGGGTTAGGGTTAGGGGTTAGGGTTTGGGGTAGAGTTAGGGTTACACATGTAGCGTCGAGTACTCACCCATAATAACGGCCGCTATATGTGAAAATTTTGACGCAGGAGTTCCAAATAATGGCTGACAATGTGCTGCTTGTGGGAGTGGCGCCATTGGAATTCTGCTAAATATGACGGCAATAGCGCGCGGCTAGGTCTACCAGCCATGTTGACCTCACTTTGTTTTTTGATTCGTGACTTGTCCACTACGTATTTGCACTGCAGCCAGGGGAGTGAACACTGACTAAGCGGCCGTCGTCGTCCAACTAGCGAAAGTTATTTAAAGCCAGAGAACCTAATCCTAGTTTTGCCGCGATGTGTTCGTCACAGGAAGTCAGCATTTTTCCACAATGACTGAGGCCCTGTTAGGGTTTTTGTTTGGCCAGGGTAGAAGTTAGGAGGAGAGCCAAATTTTGACTTACTTCAACTTAACTCACTAAAATTACTTTAAAAAAGGGGGTCTTGACTTGTGACGGAGTTGACGTGATAATGAACTTACAATATCATCTAGCTGAAGACAACTTGAATCTGTATCTCGACCAAATCTGAGAACAAGCACGATATCTTCCGTTTCTCTAATGACATTATCAACTTCTTGTTTGGAAGACAATGTCTGTAATAGGTAACTCATTTTCTCAGTTTTCACCAGCGGATGGCTCCAGGTAAGGCTGTTTGTTTGTACGGCCGATTAACGTTAGTAGAGTGATCTCCCGTGCCTCGTTGAATTTAGATATAGAATGATTCGCATTTTTTTCGTTCTAAAGAAGATGAGCTATTTACCTTATTAATTTCATTGAAAGAGACTTCATCTTTTTGTAGTTGTCGTTTGTTTGCGTTCACCAGCTGTAAAAATACCTGGCTGTTCGTCCATTTCTGGACTTTGGCTTTGTTCTAGGACCTGAGTTTTGCGTGTGCATCCATTTTACTTGTACAGATCTTGCCCCCAGTTAGTCGACTCTTACGACATGATTGTTAGGGAAGCAGTGGGTCTATTCTTGTTTTCCCTTTAGTCGGACCCCGGAACCTACACTGGGAACCTTTCTGTAGTAAAAAAAAAAAAATTCTGTTTTTGTTAGTCGATTGAAACTTTGAGCGAAACATCCAGCTTAAGAATGTAGATGGAGGCGGTCACTGCAGCTTTCCGCTAGTTATAAAACACGATACAGTCACAAGCGTGATTGTAAAGACTGAGAAAGCATGCCGAGGAAGGTGAGGACAGTCATGCTTCGTGCAAAGTGGCTTGTTTCGCTTTGGAGGTCACGGGTAAGTGACATTGTCGGATCTTTTCTCCAATGTCTGCAGGTGCGGAATATTGATGAATGATAAGGCAAATGTGGTTAAGACATTATGGGAGCACGTGTACAATTTCTAGGAGCAAATGGATCATCACAAGCTGTTGAGAGTGATGATCCATTTGCGAGGAATGACGAGGGGTTCTGACCGATACCCGACGCTCAGGGGAGACGCAAGACGGACATATAATCAGACTACTACTGGCACCAACGGTACTGGAACTCTGCGCTGGTTGCTGAAGATGGGGAAGGGGCGCTTATGAGAATGCCCCGAGTGTTGTGATGTCGGTTCTTGAATCAACTCAGAATATTCGCTTCTTGTCTGCCCTTTTTTTCGCTCAGCGCCCTAGTTGCATTGTGTGCGTGCATTTGCATGTATGTGTGTGTGAGAGCGAGAGAGAGAGAGAGAGAGAGAGAGAGAGAGAGAGAGAGAGAGAGAGAGAGCAGTTACTCTTCGCTTTAGCAAGATAGCGGTAATCCGCTGCTGCTATGTTCACTTGTTATGAAACGCAAATTACTGTCTTCAGTATAAATTCGAAACAAATACAAGAGGAGGTGTCAGACCCCCCCCCCCCCCCCCCCCTTTCCTTTTCTCTCTTGCGCTCTCCTTGACAATAATTACTGTTGCAAATTAAAACATTCCAGAATTGGATCAGTTAAAAAATAGAAAGAAGATACAGTTGTAATGAAATGTTATCGATTTTTGTGTGTATATTATTATTACGTTTGTTCTTGAATGACAGAGCTATATGTTATCTGGCGCGGGGCAGGTTTTAGGAGTACTGGAGTGGGCGTATATTCTTCTTTCTCAGTATTTCCAGTCCTTAAAGTTTGTTGTTGCAGATAACACCCGCCAACATTCAGCTCCGTGATAAGCCTTCCTTTTCAGTTGCTCACTCCAAGTAGTTCTCTCCACCGTGTTATCTTCTTTGTCAGTGTATTGATTTGTGTTTTCTTATTCAATAGATAATCATTTATAAAACGTAACATTAGTGCCGACAAGCTTTTCTTGGATGTACTTGACATCATGTCATAAGGATGCATAAACTGCTGACGTCTGAAGACTGCGCCTCAAAATTGACCAACATCTTTGAATTACTAGTTCACAATCTGAACCCACCGTCTAGCCAACATTGCAAGGATCACCAATTCTTTCCACAGATTGGGTCCTCGTCTGGTCAAAATTGCAAGAGTCATCACTTCTCTCCAAAGATTAGGGCCTGTCTGGTCAAAACTGCAAGTCATCAGTTCTCTCCAAAGATTAGGGCCTGTCTGGTCAAAACTGCAAGAGTCATCAATTCTCTCCAAAGATTAGGGCCTGTCTGGTCAAAACTGCAAGAGTCATCAGTTCTCTCCAAAGATTAGGGCCTGTCTGGTCAAAACTGCAAGAATCATCAGTTCTCTCCAAAGATTAGGTCCTGTCTGGTCAAAACTGCAAGAGTCATCAGCTCTCTCCAATGATTAGGTCCTATCTGGTCAAAACTGCAAGAGTCATCAGTTCTCTCCAAAGATTAGGTACTGTCTGGTCAAAACTGCAATAATCATCAGTTATCTCCACAGATTAGGTCCTGTCTGGTCAAAACTGCAAGAGTCATCAGTTCCCTCCAAAGATTAGGGCCTGTCTGGTCAAAACTGCAAGTCATCAGTTCTCTCCAAAGATTAGGGCCTGTCTGGTCAAAACTGCAAGAGTCATAGTTTTCTCCAAAGATTAGGGCCTGTCTGGTCAAAAATGCAAGTCATCAGTTCTCTCCAAAGATTAGGTACTGTCTGGTCAAAACTGCAAGAGTCATCAGTTCTCTCCAAAGATTAGGGCATGTCTAGTCAAAACTGCAATAATCATCAGTTATCTCCATAGATTAGGTCCTGTCTGGTCAAAACTGCAAGTCATCAGTTCTCTCCAAAGATTAGGTCCTGTCTGGTCAAAAGTGCAAGAGTCATCAGTTCACTCCAAAGATTAGGGCCTGTCTGGTCAAAACTGCAAGAGTCATCAGTTCTCTCCAAAGATTAGGGCCCGTCTGGTCAAAACTGCAAGAGTCATCAGTTCTCTCCAAAGATTAGGTTCTGTCTGGTCAAAACTGCAAGAGTCATCAGTTCTCTCCAAAGATTAGGGCCTGTCTGGTCAAAACTGCGAGAGTCATCAGTTCTCTTCAAAGATTAGGTCCTGTCTGGTCAAAACTGCAAGAGTCATCAGTTTTCTCCAAAGATTAGGGCCTGTCTGGTCAAAACTGCAAGAGTCATCAGTTCTCTCCAAAGATTAGGTCCTGTCTGGTCAAAACTGCAAGAGTCATCAGTTCTCTCCAAAGATTATGTCCTGTCTGGTCAAAACTGCAAGAGTCATCAGTTCTCTCCAAAGATTAGGTCCTGTCTGGTCAAAACTGCAAGAGTCATCAGTTCTCTCCAAAGATTAGGGCCTGTCTGGTCAAAACTGCAAGAATCATCAGTTCTCTCCAAAGATTAGGTCCTGTCTGGTCAAAACTGCAAGTGATCAGTTCTCTTCACAGATTAGGGCCTGTCTGGTCAAAACTGCAATAATCATCAGCTCACTAAACAGACCGAGTCCCTTGTCTGGCCAACATTGCAAGAATCACCAATTCTTGTCCGGACTTGCCAAAATTGCAAATATCACCAATTCTCTCAACAGATTAGGGCTCCTATCTTGCCAACATTGCAAAGACCACCAATTCTGTGCTCACATCAGGGTTCAAGTCTTGTCAACATTGCAAGGATCGTCATTTCTCTCTACAGAATTGTTCCCCTGTCTGGTCAACATTGCAAGAATCATCAGTTCAAACAGGGATTGGATCCGCGTCTAACCAACATTGCAAGGATCATCCCTGCTTTTCACAGAATGGTTTCATTGTATGGCCAGCATTGAAAAAATCACTACTTCTCTCCACAGAAATGAAGTCCAGTACGTCACTTGCCCATCAGCTGGTTACTGAGTTCGGTAAGGAGAATGAGAACTGCGAAATATAGTTAGTCTTCATGCAAATGGAGTACTATCCATAACTACTATATTCCAACAGATGTAAGCTTTTTTAAGGCTGAGAAACTCTAAATGTAAACATACCAAACTACGAGAGTTATTTTGTCTTTTTCTTCTTGTGTACTCACCCATAAAATAGTGGTTGAAATGTTCTGTTGTGGTTTACAGCAAGGCTACAATATCTACGCATTTTTGCCTAACACATCTGATTTCAGCAAACCCCTAATCAGTCAACTTCTATGAATGCTTCTTGGGTGGGTGGGGGAAAGGTCAGAGGGTCTTTTATCTATCACACCACATAAGAAATGGGGCCCCACAACTTACGTGGGGAGTGTTGTCTTCTATAGCAATCAGGTGAACAGAACACAGACACGTGAACACACAAAGGTGAACTGACTCATTTTAAAAATAAGTAACCCTGAAACGAGTGTTGAGGAGAGAGGCCAAAGATGCAGCAATGGATTTCATACATATCAAAATAATTTATAAGGTCAGAATGGAATGGAGGAATAGACTGGAAGCCCTGTGTGATGTATGATTATGGCGAAATAAGTACACATAATTTACTCTTGATTCTGACATAATTTTAAATGAACAAAACTATGACGGGAAGAAGTAGCGACAATATCAAAGAAATGAATTGTGCCTACATGTAAAATAAAATGATAAGTGTAGAAAATTAATTATCTAGGCACACAGATAACATAAGATGGAAGATGTATCACTGAAGTAAAGAACGAAGTAGGGCAGGCAAAAAATATTGATGAAATCAAGAACATCTTATGCTATAAAATAATGTCACTGAAGGTTGGAACAGGAATTCTCAATACTATGCTGAGCCAGTTTTAACGTACAGCTGTAAATCCTGAACAGTTAATAAACACATTACATTTCTTGAGGCCTCGGAGATGTGGTTTTACAGAATAATCCTTAACATTCCTTGTACAGATAAAAACAGCAAACCAGATGAAGAGGCAAACCAGATATAGAGAGACGAGAGTTTGAAGAACATTTATCACAGACATCAGAGAGATCCAGTTATAATTTTGGTCATGTTATGAGAAGAAGGAAAGTGAAACAAGCAGTAAACACTTGAAAGATCTGTGGAAAAAGAGACAAGAGGAAAACAAAGCAAGAAGATTTTTGGCAGTCTTTTGTCACGGCATGGAGGGGTGTCTGTACACAAACTGATACATGCTGTTGATGATCGCACATTGTGGAGAGACATGATAATCCCGCCAGTTGGCAAAGCACTTGATAATAATGTTGATGACAGAAAATCCCAACAGCATCATGTGCCATGCCAGTAAATAACAATCATGATGGTTTTTCACTTCACATGATCCTGCAAAC